TAATATAGAGAAACAATTACAAGAATCGGAAGAGCGGATTCAAAATCTAAGGCATAGATTCAAAGTTATTTCTTCTCAAAGAAGCTTTCCAAGTTTATATAATTCAGAAGAGGAAGATATAGATATGGTGAATCTTGACCTTTTTATACAAATTGATGGATACTTAAATCGCATTGAAAATCATATTAGAGGAGCTGGAACACCATTAAATAATCCTATTAATATCATAAATGGTATTAGAGGTTCCTTGAATGATATCAGTCTTAATTACCAAAATTCATTCCAGGATATAGATGGCGTTATCACTCAACAAAATATAGAATATCATTTTGCAAAATCAAGTTAATCAGCTTGCCCAAAATAATTTTCAGGATCAAGTCAATCAGATTACTCAAGAACAAGATAACTTATAGAACCAAGTTAATCAAGTTAACCAACTTACTCAAGAGGTAACAATTATTAGAATGATCTTACTTTGATAACTACAACTTATAATAATAAACAGGGAAAACGTCGTGCTGGTGGTTCTCATATTATTATAAAAATAGACATGTTGGTGAATTAATTCAAGAAAAGTTCACTATCCAATTATTATTATAGCGATGCCATATCAATAATAGGAATTTACAACAAAAATATAATATGCGAGGGCATTTGTGATATAATATTACCTTGGTATTAGAAGAACAATCTAAACTCAGCATATTTTTGAAGTTTTATATAGATTAAAAAACTATCAATTAGAACAAGAATTGCGAAGATGTTGGGCTGATAAAGGATTATTAGAGTAAAATCAAGATCAGCTTTTTGATAGATACTATAATAAATTCAAGGATCGGAAAGCAAGTTATATCAAGTGAAAAAATAGACAGCACAATTCACAGCAATTAATTTTAAATTTACAAGCCCAAATTTTATTACTACAGAATAATCCACTAAATATAGCAGAAGCTAGATGTTTACTAGTATTAAAATTAATATAACTAGCCCTTGCAAGTTTCTCACCTTATATTGGTCAAGAACCTCCTGATGATTATTTTGATAAGGTTATACAATCATGGGCATTTGATGAAGGGCATATGACAGTTCTTGAAAATGCAAATGCAGGAGATTTCGATGGTGCGGTCAAGTGTACTACTGTAGCTCTTTCCATTGATGGTTTGTGCAGCATCAGATAGAATGATCGCACAAAACACATCAAGTCAACTTTTGGCCCATAAACAATATTTTCATCATTAGTTAGTGATTCCAGGACTTCATCCGGCATGCATTCAAGTGCTCTTGCAAATTCGGTGTCTTCGCGTTTCTTTGTGCTTTAACCCCAATCAATAATTAAAATAGATTCATTTGGATAATCTAAATTACGAAGAAAATTACATTTACGAAGGTCCCTATGTACATATTTATATGAATAAACATGTTTAAGAGTGGTTATTATATTCTTGATATCTGGTTTTCTCAAATTAATAACTTTCTCCCACCAAGAGGAGTCATGACCAGAGTATTCTCGTCGTAAAAAAGAATTTTTTGGGATGTGAGGTGAACTTAACTCCGAAAGTTCTTCCAACGCAGCTCTTTCTCTTTCGAAGCAGGGCAAATAATTTGCCTTTTTCATCATTTTCACGACCACATTTATGTCTTTGTATATTCCTTCATACACAACACTAGCTCTGCCTACACCAATCGACCGAACCAGTTTTACAGTTTCTTCACCAAATTTCAATGATGGTTCAACCCATCCCAATCTTTCTGGAGAGCTTTCAATTACTGTTACCAGGTACCTCCACCCTTTCGAAGGTATGTCAAATATTCACTTTTTGTGTAGTTTTATGTGAACTGTGTGTATTTTTCCGAGTAGTTTTCATTTCTGTTCACCCTATATATTGATGATAATACAATCTGTCAACACCACATACACATAGTTTCGTCGTGGCTGAAGTTGGAGCATTTTTTCACCAAATGATATTGCATGTCCTATATCTGCATTGCTGAAGCTTCCACTAACTCGCTTCTTGACCTCACCGACGGCTACAGCACTTAACGGATCCAAAGGAGAATCGCTCGTAATGAATACAAAATCTGGTTTTCGAGTATCCAGCAATGGTGAAAAAATGTGTGTCACTGATAATAAGTTTATTTTGTATGTTTGCATAATTTTCTAGTGCCTTGCATTCACACATAAAGTAATCTTGTACTTTTAAAACTTTCCAGGTGACTTTGCTTTGAGACTTCTGGTCAAATCAAGCGGAAACTGAATTTCAACACCTCTTTCTTGCACAAATTTACCCTTTTCTATTTTTGCAAGAGTATCTAAACAAAAATTGTTAATAAAAAATCCCAGAAATAGTCGAAAAACTAGGCGAATAACATACCTATTGCACTGT